AAAAAAAAAAAAAAAAAAAAAAAAAAAAAAAAAAAACAAGTTCCATTAGAAAATCAGTGGATTGCTTCTGCATACCGTCCTTCCTTCCATGCACTTACACGGATCTCATCAAGGTACCAATTCTCTTTGGAGCCACTTAAGGAACCAACCGTTTCGACGCGCGTGCACGACTGGGAATGACAAGCAAAAAGCTTCGAGGTCTCTTGCGGGGAAAGAACTTAAGCGCGAGAGAGAGATAGGGTATGTGTCACCCTGTAGATCCCTCTCAGTGTTGAATATCGACAAACAGATCTGTCTTTCCTTCCTACTCTAATTCGAGGCAGGGGCGATACGTCTTCCATGCTAGACGGAACAGCGGACTCACGCCTCGGGGCTAACGGCTTAGTAATCTTTTCCTTCTGTCAGCACGTATATCCGTCATTCACAAACTTTTCCATTAATCCCATATATTTCTCTTTCTCGCATTTTCTCGGAAATGGACTAAAAAAATTTAAGCGACCTCAGGGAGGGACGGGGTAGCATTACGGCGAACGTTTTCTTCCTCGATGCATCTTCTACTGTCAGACTGACTCCGTTCCCTTCCTGGCAAGAAACGATAAGAAGCCTTCTTATCTTTCCCGACCATTTCTCGGTGAGTTCTTACGGGAAACAACGGTCTCTGAATTCCCCGATGCAGAAAATAGAGTTTTCCTCTCCGATGTTAATAGTATTCTTTTCCTATTAAATGAAACCGGTGAACGTAATACTGACTTAATTTCACGGTGAAAGACTTGATATTGAAAATCAAAAACCTGAAATGTTTGAGAATGAAATAATTATATTTGCCTTCAAAGCGAAATGGGGCATGAAATAACGCGGCAGAAGCGATATAATCGAAGTTTGACATCATGAAAGCTTTACTATAATCCCGTCACGAAATAATGAGACAGAGAAGAAGGAACTTTTTTTTTATAAATTATGTTAAACACCCTCAAAGAGCCGCCAAAGGCCGAGGATCAGGAATTCCTCACGGCATTCCGAAAAAAAAGGAATGGAACCTTTCATCTCGCGTCTCTTTTCGCCTGTGCATCAAGTTATCAGAATCTCATTTTCTATGCAAAAAATACATAAAGGGAAACCTTCCTTTCCCCCCTTGATGTGAGGCCAGGGGAGCATGAAAGTCCCGAGTCGAGACCTCGCAAGTCAATTTAGGAAAAATGATTCATGAGCTTCGCCATGAATGAGCGAAAGGCTGTCAACGATGAGCTCGATTCTCATCTCAAACTAAGGAAGAAAAATTTGCGCAGCGCAGAATTTTTTGCTTGGGAAAAAAACTCTAGAATAGGGGATGCTGCGTCTCTGCTTTTTTTTTTTATCCCATCAGGAGAGTCTCCATCTCCCCGATTGGCGTGATCGAAATCGACTGCCATTCACCAGATTCGGGCGATTCGCAGTTTCTCTTCCGGCTTATTTATTCAGGTTTGCCAGATTTCAAGAAAGTGAAACCGGGACGCTGCGTTCCCGAGTGATTTGTCGCAGAAGGTTTCGAAAAGTTACATAAGATTATTTTAGCATTTTTATATTTTCTCATCTGAAAAGCATAAAACACATTAGTCTGAACATAATGTGGTTTTTCGTCTGAATACACTCGCCTACGCCGAGTGCTCATCGGATAAAATCTCTGAAATGTCAAGACTAATCATGACGTGGAACATGAAATCGACCCGTCGATTGGGCAATACCATATTCAGGATATATTTGACACGCGAGGGATTTAATTGCTGTACTCTCCGAGAATAATGACCATTTTGACTTCAAATCGCACTTCACGCAAAACCCATAGATTTGGGATCTGAGACGGTGGTCGACATGATATGCCAAGTCACGCCAGTTCAATTATCAGCGATTCGCCATACTGGTAGGTAGGGCTGGGTGATATGAATTTTTAAGGGATCGATATCGTCGACTTTAAATCTATCGATATATCGATATCGCCGATCCTTTTGGTCATAATCAGAAACTCTGCGGGAAAATCCCCGGGGTGCAGATTAGTGTCGCACATCGTTACGTTCACACAACGAAAGTAACTTTAGTTTTCCTTACTTATGATTAGGTTCTCCCTTAGAGTTTCTGATTGAATGATGACGCTATTCATTTTCCGAGAAATAGGTTGGGGGTAATGGGCCTCTTGAGGAAAATCAGGGGGCAACGTCATTGAGGTGTACAGTATTGATGCCTGCCCCATCTTCTCCCTTTCTGTTATACAGTACAAGCCTCATTAGCAGCAGAGCGAGAGGCCGTGGGAGGGGGGGGATGGAGTGCCTTAGGGATGCCATTTCCTTCCTGTGCGTCATATTCCCAATGGCTCTGGGTCCAACGAATGCTTTCCAACGAAACCTTTCTCATTCAGATTTTCCTTAATCAAGCCTCTCTACGTAGGCTTCGTAATTCGGGGTAGTGGCATACGGTGATGAAATTTTCAATGCATGACGTCAACCATGCAGCTTTTCCTGCAGTCAAAATTGTATTCGTTCCAGAGTAAGCAGGAAGGGCGATATAGGACTAAAATGCCGACATATCGTCGATAGGAACAACATCTATCGATATCGCGATTCGCGATACTCGGCTCAGCCCTGCCGATAGGACCACTATAACGTGAAACATGATCGTTGAGCCGTGGGAGACGCAGTTAGAGCCAATTTTGATCAGTCCTCGCCAGACAACGTGAGTTAGCAGCCAAGCAAAATGATATGAAACTTGCCGTCCGAAGGTTTAAATCGGGCGAATGACAGCAGATACGAACCTGCTGTCTAGATTTGCCGCCTTCCGCCGTCACGGGGTCTCGTCGGGTTGTGCCCCGAGGACTAACATATGCCATTTTGCCACGCTTTCTTCTGGATTTTGGCCTCTTTTTTCTCTTCCCTACAATCCAATCATTGAGGGAAGAGAACTCCCCAGGGAACCTTTCTTTCCGTTGCCCATCCATAATTGCTGTCTACTCGACGGGAGAGGCTTCCATACAGAGTGCAACGACATAAGGGACAAAAAAATGGAGGAAAAGAAAACGCACCGAGCCAGAGCCTCTTGGCTATGTCGGGAGGGAAGATGAGATGGAGGAGGTTCACGTTTTTTTCTTGTTCTAGATCCACGGCATGACTCGCCTCTTCGATCGATTTCTTCAGCGCGTCCATACGCCTCTTCAAGCTCTCCTGCGAATATTTGAATCGGAATATGTGCTCAACGGTCGCAATGAAAGTGAAGCTTAAGGAAAGGAAAAAGAAAGAAATGAAAAGAAGTAATATGTAATTTAAGCTGAACAAACGTGAGCGTATTAAGATTGAGCGAGTATCGAAAAATGTACGGATAATAACTTGAAAGTTAAATTGGGCGACAGCACGAAAAAAGTTGCATCAATAAGAGATAAAAAAAGGGAGGAGTAAGATTATGGGCTATATTCGTTTCGGGTTATTAGCTTGTCCACCTGTCGTTAATGAAATTGCTGCTTATCACGTTACCTCCATACCTTCGGAACGATAGATGAGTCTTGAGGCCTACCTGTGCGCGGGAATGTTCCCCGACGAGCATGACATCCCTGGTCATGTCGTAGACAGGGATGTCGGATATGTAGAGTCCCTTGGACGTCAAGGAGTCCAGGCCGTCGACGAGGGGGGAGCCGAGGAAGAGCAGGGAATCCGACTCTTCGCATGACACCATCTGCCCTTTCAGCTCCATTCCCTTGGTACGGAATGGAATTCCTCATTATTCGAACGACTCCATTCAAGGAAGTGCTCTGCCAGATTTTTCTGAGTACCGAAGCTGATATAAAGCAGTAGGCATTCATGAAAACGGGAATTGTTCCCTCTGGGGAAAAATAGTTTTTTTTATGAATACTGGGGGAAATGGCTGCTTGCACGTTATGGTCTCCCAATCTTCGTCGTTTCTTTGCAAACAAAAGTTTGTGGGTTGGCACCATCTCGCACCGAGCTCTTCAATTCATAGAGATAAGGACCCGCTATTCATGATGGAGCGGCTTTTGTTCTCTTTCGAATGACGAATAAATGAATTTCTTGCCTTATCAACCGTTCCATTTTTTCACGTGGAAATAGGATTCCGAAATTGACAAAGGACGCAACTCGACATTTTCGCATATGATTCCTTAGGAAATGACACGTCCTGTCCAATACGAATCGAGATAACACCACCTACGAAGTGAATCAGCAGACAGCTTTCAGGAGATGGCTTCGCGACTGTTCCTTATGATCGAACTCTCCCGTTCCCAGTACTTTCAGTCGGCAGACGAATAAATAAATGAAGAAATAAACGAAATCTCGCATTCAGAAAAAGCACTGAGCGCGCCCTCCAGCTTCTCGAGCAGAAATAGCCTTTACTCTTCCCTTCCTAGCTCGGAATTTCGTGCCACGATTACGGCGAACCCTATATAACTGGTAAGATCACTTCATCTCCTTTGATTCCATGTGGAATACACACGGACTCCTGGAATCTCGACATGGCAAGGAAGGAAAAACGGCGGAGACCGTCCCACTTCTCCATTGCTTTTTTTAAATAGTGCATTATACGGTAGATTTCCTGGAAAATTAGAGTGAATCGCTCGGAGATAATTTCTTCCTGAAAACGTTCCGGATCGACACTTCGATTACTTTTAGATCCATAATTAAACGGAACGTCAGAGAACCCTCACGATAGTGAGCTTGGAGATGCCGTTGAGAACCTTCTTGACCCTGAGCGTGAAGGGGACGTTGAGGCGCAGCGTGATGTTCTCCCACTCGAGTTCCAGGTCCGGGTCGGGCCCTAAGACCTCGAAGAACTCGGACACTCGTCGGACGCCGACGACGTCGTCGTGCCCGAACAAGGCGGAGAGCCCGGTGCCCAGCTGGAGGATCCTCATCCCCCGATCGGTAATGAAATGCCAGGGGAAGGTGCGGCAGAACGTGCGGGACCCGATGAGGGAGTCCTTGGCGGAAGTGGAACCGGACGAAGGACGTCGGTCCGCGACTCGCTCCGTGCCGGCACCGATCACGTACTGGAAGTGGTACCTGGAAGAAAGGAGAAGTGTGGAAAAATATTGCGATATTGTGCCGCGAATAACCATGATCTGCTATTGGGTTTTCCTCAAGCACATCGCGGTCGCTCTACTATTCTCCTTTTCTTTAATATTCATGTATCAATTCTCCCCCTTTCCACGAATGAATCTTGGTTCATCTATTATTCGAATCGCAGACCCGCCGGAAGCCACCCTGAAATATTTCGTTGAAGGAATCACGAGATCTTCGCTTTAAATTTTTCATCCATATATTCAAGTGGGCGGAGAACCAGAGACTGGAGGGAGGAAGGGGGGAAGGGGAGGGGGGGGGGGGGGGGGCCCGGGACATGGGACACCGATAATCCAATGAGATCGACGACACCCTTGGGCTCCGGGCCAATTCATCGGTCAAGATTAGATTTGGGAGACCAAACAAATATTTGCTCCTTCTCTTCTTGGTTTTCTTTTGCAGGGACGCAACCGGAAATTTCGAAAGGGGAAGGGAAGAGGGGAGGAAGGATACGAAAAGCAATGCAATAACGATCCAACCTTGTAAGATCTGCTGGGCGAAGGATCGAGAGGGTTCTAGGCAGCGAGGAAAGTCCACCGATACAAAGTACGGGAAAGATAAAAAGGAATGGGTGATGGATTCAACCACTCTTCCCCAATTACAGCCGTACCTCAAGTCGGACCTTCCTGTCAGGTTTTTCTTTCTTTCATCACAAATTTACTCAAAGCAGATCGTCGCTGATTTCAGGAACGGTGTTTCCATTCCCTCATAGATAGCAGTTGGTAACGTCGCTTCCACATCGTAAAAAGTATGGGAACGCCATTCCCGCTTACTTTCTTACTTCCTTTCACTGGTGCTAAGGCAAGCCTGACGAATGGGAAGAGTGCGTCGGGGTGCTCATGCCTCATCCCGTTCGTTCATGATGCCGCCTTCTTATCAATTATTCTTACTTTTCTCTCCACTGGGGGATGAACCCCCCCCCCCTGCTTCTCCGGTTGCGTCCCGGCTCTTTCTTATCTGTTGGGTTGGTCGTTGCACTCGATTCATATTTGGATTTCATGAGCCTCATCGTGGTAATATGCTTCTGGCCACTTGTAAGTGGTGCCGCATGGATGTGCGACAGCTGACTGAAGGATGAATCGAAATCGAATCGAAAATTTATTAGCAGACTCAGTGAAGAAATTTGATCGCTTTAGCGCTGAGGTTGCCGAGAGACTAACATGGTTGACCTTGGTGTTTCGACCTTTTATTGACCTGCGATCAAAAGAGAGCGAGGTCTGGTGACTATAATGTACGGTCAAATCTCATTATAATGACCAGAATAGAGAACCTAGGATCACCGCAATTTGTGTCAATTTTGATAAAAATTGACGCATTTCGTGTTTCTAGGAAATAAGTTTATTGATAACGTATTTATCAAGAAAGAATTCCAACATCAATATTGTTGCTGCTATGAAGATTCTGATTGCTTCTGCCTTTCACCTACTACCTACCTTTGTCTACCTTTCATATTCTGGGTATACATATATTTAATAAAAAGAAGCAATATCAGGTCCCGTGTGAAGTCTCCTTAAATATTGAGTATCTTGATTTTCTGTGCAAGCAGTTGGGTACCAGTTTTTGACAAATTTAAAATGCATTGAATTCAACATCCACATTTATACCAGTATCCCTGCAGAGACTTTTCCGGTGCCCTGACTGTGTACCTGTGCATCCAGGAGGAAAGGAACTGCTTCATGGCCTACCATTGCCAGGAAAATAATGAATAATGGGCTGTAAGTCGCGATTGAATATTGTCCTCGCCACTCATTTCATACTTCTATCATGTTTTCCCAGTTTTTACAACAAATGTACAACTATAAAAGATCATAAATTTGGTTGGTTACTGCCTAGAGCAATGATACCTCATGTTGTAGGAAATTTCCTAAGCTAAACTTAGGCTTCTAATACGTTCATGTTTGTGCCAGAAATAGTGATAGTGAAAAAATTATTTCCAGCGCGGTAAGAGCGAATCTGAAAAGTGAGAGGTGAAAAGGGTAAATGGGGATGGATGTCCCGGCGCGTTGGCGTTCTCGAAAGCCAGCGAATTTAATAAAGCAAGGGGAGTGGAAAAGTTTTCCCCGGGGCCACTACGTCCCCCCTTTCTCTTCCTTTCATGGGCGAAAACAGGAAAATGCAAACTTCGAGAGGGACTTGAGCGGGGCATCTGCTCGCTCAATATCTTAGTCGCTCGCGTCGCACCAGCCTGATATCCGGGTTCGTCGAGTCTCTTCAGTGACATCACTGTCAGGAACACGTATGACAACAACTCAGTGATACGGATATAATGGGATAATCCTTTTCCATGGTGCTTGGCTCACCGAAAAAGTAACTCACCCGACAGGCAAATAAAAAAATATTCCTCCCGGTTCCTCAGAACACAAGGCTCAGGAAAGTGGCACTCAGATGCAGTGGCGGATACAGGGGGGGTTAGCGATCGCCCCCCCTATGGCCAGGTTAGCATTTGATTTATTTATTCAAAATAGTATCTGCATTAAATGTTATCGGAGCCATTGAAATAGACACTCAAGTTCTTACCCCAGGCGAAAAATAAAAAAGGCGAAAGGACGAGGAATGGTGGTAGGCGGGAGGGAGGGGGGGTTTAGGAACTTGGGAACCGCCCCCCCTATGAAAAATTTCTGTATCCGCCCCTGCTCAGATGGTGCACATGCCTTTTGCATTTATACTTCTTTTGCCCTGGAATAAGGTGAGCATACGGAGAATGTAAGTCAATTTTTTTTTTACTCATCATCCCTTACTCGAAGAATGCCTAAGGCGATGCTCATGATTTGGCTTATACCTGGTGAGCTTCACCTTCAGGCGCCATTTTCTATTAGGTAAATCTTGAATTTCTTCGGTTCGATGCCGTCTTCAGATTAAAAGATCTTTCGAAACCTCGAAGGAACGACCAAGAACGATGTAAAAAGTCTTAATCGCCTACCTCGCCCGTCGAGCCTCTCTTAGTGGAGTCCCAACGATTGACGGCATTCTGGTTGTTGGTGGTCTACATAAGGCCGGTGGTCCGGTGGTCTACACACCATACTGTATTTATTGGTGTTTGGTTCTTGGTGGTCTACACACAACACAGTGGCATAACCCTTCAAAGTACTGTGACACAAAGAACCTGATGAACTTGTGAATGTATACTGAAACAAATCCAATCCTCAGTTAAACACTCGGTGAATGTCCCTCAATAAGCTTAAGAGAGTATTGGTGCCTTGGTTCATTCATTGGTCCAAATTCCCTTCAGATGTCGTGAAAGCATGTCTGGGTTGGTGTCATGCCATTTCCTCATTTTTAACACTGACCACGATCAAGTGGACATATCCAGACTTTTATCAGACACAATCAATGTTTCTGATGCAACCTCATTCTGAATGATTAGGAGCAACGTTTTCCAATCACGACGTAATCTTCATGAGGAAGGAGAATAGGTCCGAGTTCTCAAACTTTGTTGGTTCGAGTCATTTCCCTGATGACATCTCTATCTCTGACCCTGAGGTTTAAGAGATTAACCCTTTCCTGGAGTAGGTGGAATTCATCTTTTTCCTGGAATCATCAGGGGGGGGGTGTGATGTCGCCAAGGAAGGGGTTGAAAGAGGTTATTTCAAGTCAGGTCTCCAAAATAAATTTTAAACATATTATCAGAGAACTTTTGGACTTGGATTTTCTGAACGTCTTGGCGTGTAGACCACCAATGACCAGAGAAACATTAATGTAGACCACCAACGACCAGAATGCCCAATTAAAGGGCAACATCATGATAAATTTCCCAGTTGTAGTGATCCAGGTCCCTGGAAGCACTGGATATGAAAATTGAAAGTTACATCTTGGCCCTGGGAGTCGTTTGTTGGGAATCACGGCCAATCATCATGCCTACTTCTCCACTTCTTTGAGAATTTAAGGATGTCATCATTGCCTGCCTTTTTCGCGCATCGATGTCGGCACGATCAAAGTTGACCAAGCCAACTAGAGACGCCTCGAGTTACAGTCTTTCCCAAATGCGCCTGCTTTACTGGCATCAAAATGAATCGAACTTACACAGCTCGTATAGCATTTTCCTACCGGATTGAATTTCATGTTAGCTCTTTCGGTACTCTTCTACGATGTCTCCAGTTGATTGATTCCAGGTCTGCCAATTCCTTTGACGGCGAGGTACCTCGTAGATACTTCACCCCGAAAAATATGGAACGGAGAAAAGAAACAATTGGGGATGACAAGAGCATCCACAACGTCCTGCTATCTACCGCACACAGACCCTCTTGATCGATGGTATTAGTGTGAAAAGACCCTGTCCCCCCCTCCCCCCCCCCCCACCCCCCCATTCCTTCTAGGTATGTCTTCTTAGCCCGTCTTAATGTCACTGCGCGGGGTCCGAGCGGATTACATAGTTCATTCCCTGCTGTAAAAAAGAAAAGCACTAGCAGCGTAGAAAGAATTGATGGATGAGGTTAGAGAAGGAAGCCGACAGTAGGAAGTAGGTGGATTTAACAAAGTGCTGAATGGGACTTAGGGTGGGGCAAAGGATCAAATGGAGCAAAGGAGACGGATTGTTACGTCAGGGTTGCCAAGAGGATCGAGTCGGCTCAAGTTCATGTAACCAGCCAGTCATATATAGATTGACAGAGGATAATGTGTGCATTCTTTAAGCGAATATATTTATTCTATACGTGCGAGAATTGTAGGGTATGTGTTCATCACTGCTTGGGACGCGTAGCCTACCAATGAAAGGGCATGCCGACCAGAACGACATATCGTTACCGTTCGAAATGGCTACCACTGACGACCAGGCATTTGTTGCCATTCCATAAGTATGTCGCACAGGTTTGGTAGTGACTTTTTACACATACCCTACTTGTAAGCATGAAATAAAACCACCCACCTACTGTATATTCCTGTGGATGCACATCTATAATACCCCATCTGAAAATATGGCAACCCTGTCTTTCCATGAATACCTCTTCTAATCCTGCTATAAACTACTCAACATCCCAGGTGTGTTAATGATAAATTAATCGCCTTGCTTTCCCTTTTAGCCTGTCATCCTGGAGCCGCCACTGCGGTTTTTAGGAGAGGAAAAACCTTTGGCTCGAGACGTCGAGAGGGGCAGGAGCTGGAGCACCCAGGCTTCACGCGATCTTCAGCCTCACACTTTAGGTTCTGCACGCCACTGGGTGCTTTCTTTGCTTCTCTCCCCCCCCCCCCCCCCCCCCCCCCCCCCCTGGAGCACAAGCTCATTAGCGCGCTCTAATCACTTTTTCTCGGATGGATATCCCAGACTCACCAACCTGGCAAAAACGAGAATCTCCGTACCCGTGATCACGAAATCGCTAAATTAAATCGTTTAATTAAAAACTTGCTCATTATGCTAAAAAAAAGTTTAAAACTTCACGCGGCAAGTCAAAACTGTAGCCAGGACTTGACCATCGTCTGCGTGTGTAACTCCCTCTTCTACATATTCCATCAAGTTGGATTTCGACTTCCCTTGCTTCGAGGTTTTAGGCAGGAATGAGGGCTAGATCCTGCAGAATAACATTTATTCTATAAAAACTGAGTAATCTCATACCCTGCTATTGCTTTTCAGGATAATGACTCCGGTGAAACCTACCCTATCTGAATTCAATCCTTGGAGCATTCTGCGAAGAATGATCTCGAAAAATATTATCGACGGCAAGGTAATTTCGTGCACTTGTGAGCGATCTCGCTCCTTCACTTAGGTTTCGAGCAAAGCAAAGGACGAGCTCGATCTCGAACAGCGTATTTCCACCCTAAAGGTACATCCTGAAAGGATCTAGAATCTGAACCGGAAATTAAAAGAGGATGAAAGTCGATCGAAGACCAATACCTCAGAGGAAACCCGGATCCCCGGTCTATGCATTCTACGCGATGGAAACAAACAGGAGCAACCCCTCCGACCCCCGTGGCCCCGTCCGCACTCCTATGGGCTCACCTCGTTTCGACAGTGGGCCTTTATGATGGAGATGAAGCCACATCTGATGATTGGTGCAGCCGTGGATCCGATGATGGAAATCAATAGGATGGGACAAAACCCACGACAAACACTCACGCGAACGCAGACACTCACACCCTCACAGACATACGCACACACACACACACACACACACACGATCTAAATAATGTTGTACTTCAGACTCATTCTCAGCTCTCTCACGAAGCAAGCTGGAGAGTTTATTGGAAGAACGACCACTTTGCGACCAATAAAATTATGATTATAAGCCAATAAAAATTGAGCATTTTGCTGAGAAGATGCATCGAATGCAGTGATTACTCGAGGCAAAAATTTCACGAAGATATATTCTATGTCCTCGAGTGGAGACGAGAGAGAAGAATAAGGAATTGTTCCCGCCGCCGGACGTGCATGCGCGAGGCGACCGCGGCTGGATAGGCGGGATTTCCGCCATCGATGGAGTGCACGATAGCCTCAGCAAGCGTCTCCTTTTTCTTGCCGCTGCAGGATTCCTCAATTTCTGGCCCCGATCACATGCCGCATGATGATCCTCTATGCGGGGTGGGGGGTTCTGCTCAAAAGGATGGGTGCCCACGAGCGGGTTTTTTTCATTCCTTTCTAAATTTGCTATTTTGCGAAGTAATATCGTTCTACTTAAGTAAGCCAGGAAAGATGGACGCTTTTGTCAGTTATGCAAAGAATGCAACCTTTAGGGTGGTGGAAAAAAAATCCTGTTGCCACAACCCCACGTTTTGAAATGTCTCGAAACACTTCCTTCACTACCATGTTGCGATAATCACAACCTACAGCAATCACGCCTCAAACTTGAGTACTATTACCATTCTGGTATTCTATACCTGTAACATGCTTACAATTGAGGAGTTTGATTTGAATTGAGGAGC